TGGAGTAGAGGAGAAGTTGAATGCCTTTCCTGATTCTGTAGATCCTCTAGAAAATGCAAGTTTTCTGTAGTGAGTACTTCAGAAAGACCTGGAATAAAATTTTATGTAAGACACTTTGATCTAAGAAAGTTAAAATAATCTGCTCACTTTTGTTCAGTTAATGTATTCCTTGGATACGGTCTACTTGGTCACAGTGTATAATCTTTTTAATATGGTGTTGGCTTTGGTTTGCTAGTATTTTGTTGAGGATTTTTATACTGATATTCATAAGGAATATTAGTCTGTAGCTTTCTTATGGTTTCTTTGTCTGGGTTTGTTATCAGGGTAATGCTGGCTTCATAGAGTGAATTAGGAATTGTTCCTTCCTCTTCTTATTTTTTTGGGAGATTTTGACCAGGATTGGTTTTAGCTCTTCTTTAAATGTTTGGTAGAACTCAGCAGTGAAGCCATCTGGTCCTGAAGTTTTCTTTGTTGGGAGGTTCCTGATTACAACTCAGTCTTTCTACTTGTTACAGTTCTGTTCAAGTTTTCTGTTTCTTCTTTAGTCAGTTTAGGTAATTTATGTATTTCTAGGAATTTGTCTGCTTCATCTAGATTATCTAGTTTCTTGATATATGATTATTCATAGTATCCTCTTTTAATTTGTTTTATTCCTGTAAGGTCAATAGTAATATCTCCACTTTCATTTCTGATTTTAGTTATTCGCATCTTCTTTTTTTTCCTTAGTCTAGCTAAAGGTTTTCAATTTTGTTGATCTTTTTAAAGAACCAACTTTTGGTTTCATTGATTTTCTCTATTGTTTTTCTAATCTCTATTTCATTTATTTTTGCTCTATATTATTTTCTTCCCTTTGCTAGCTTTGGTTTAGTTTTCTCTTCTTTTTCTCTAATTCCATGAGATGTAACATTAGATTATTGATTTGACATCTCTCTTCTTTTATAACATAAATACATACAGCTATAAATTTCCCTCTGAGTACTGCTTTTGCTATATGGCATAAATTTTGGTATGTTGTGTTTTTGTTGTCATTCCTCTCAAAGTATTTTTAATTTTCCTTGCGATTCCTTCTTTGACTGTTTAGCTGTTTGAGCATATTTAAGACAGTTGATATAAAATATTTGTCTAGTAATCCTAATATCTGTGCTTCCTCAGGGGCAGTTTCTGTTAATTTCTTTTGTGAATCAACTATACTTTCTTGTTTCTTTGAATGCTTCATAATTTTTTGTTGTTGTTGAAATCTGGACATCTTTAATATTACAAAGTGGTAAACACTGAAAATCAGCTTCTTCCCTATCCTGAGGGGTTTTTTTGTCACTTGCTGTGTGGGTTATAGCTGTTTGTTTGTTTAGTGACTTTTTTAAAACTACCTTATAAAGTCTGTATTCTTTGTCATGTCTGGTCTTTAACATCTTTATTCCTTTAGCTTGTGTTCAGCTAGTGTTTTCAGAGAGATTTTCTTGAATTCCAGGAGCTTAAAAAAACAGAGAGAGAATAAAAAAAGACTGCCTCCACTTCTGCTTTTTCTTTGTTCACCTTCTGCTGATTCTGCAGCTTTTTCTGTTGTTTCTACCTCTGCTTCCTCTTTTTCTGGAGCTGCTTTTCCTCTACTGCCCTTGCCTCTGCTTTCCCCTTTTTGAGTTTTTGCTGATTCTTCTGTTTGTTTGTTTTTTCCTGCTGATTCTGGCTCTACTTCTCCTTTCTTTTTTTATGCTTCTCCTTTTCTGTAGCTCTTTTTCTTTTTCTGACTCTGCGTCTGCTTCCCACTTTTACTGTTTCTGCTGATCAGTCTGCTTTTTCTGCTGATTCTGACTCTGCTTCTCTTTTTTTTCTATGCTTCTCCTTTTCTGCAGCTGATTTTCCTTTATCTGACTCAGCCTCCGTTTCCCCTTTTTTAGTTTCTGCTGATTCTTCTTTTTTCTGCTGGTTTTGCTTGTGCTGCTTCTTTTTTTATGCTTCTCCTTTTAACAGCTCTTTTTCCTCTTCTGACTCTGCCTCTGCTTCCCTCTGTTTTAGTTGCTGCTGATTTTTCTGCTTTTTCTGATGATTTTTGCCTCTGCTTCCCCCTTTTTCAGTTTTTGCTGATTTTTCTGTTTTCCTGCTGATTCTGCTTTTCCTTTTTTTAATACTTCTCCTTTTCTGTAGATATTTTTTCTTTATCTGACTCAGCCTCTGCTCTCCCCTTTTTTAGTTTATGCTGATTCTTCTTTTTTTTTTCTTTTGCAAACTTTGCTTGTGCTTCTCCTTTTTTTATGCTTCTGTTTTTTGCAGCTGTTTTTTCTCTTCTGACTCTGCCTC